AAGTACAACGTTAAGTAAAGTGTTTGTAGGAACATCTGAATTGTAATCTGAAAAACGTGTGATCTGAAAAACAAGTAACAAATCCTCCATGTGCCCAGAAAATGATTTAGTCTTTCACATGCCACGATATATACGCAGGCACAGCATCGTCGAAAATGACTACTTCCTAAACCTCGTTAAAACACTCATCTCAGCCGAGGAGCAGAGCACATGTGAAAAATAGCTTCACAAACACGATTGTTCGTTTCTCTGTGTGTTGCAACCACTGCAGCTCATTGCAACAAAGCTTTGTGAGAAAACCACAGCATGGTTTCCTGCAGGTATCAGTGATTATTGCTGTTGGTGCAGTACGGCGTCTTCACACCTGACACCAGCTCAGTTTTGAACATTGAGTTCTTCATAGAGAAGAACTGAAGATACGTATATACGATATGTAAACATTTGAAATGGAAAGGAAACCAACATCCGGCTAATTATGATTATTTCAAAGGCTATGAAATAATCATAATTATTATTATTACTTACTTACTTTATCCACCATTCATATAAATAATTTCTGTTTTTTTTAATACAATTAATCCAGATTAGAAGTCCCACTGACCCCAATTCATTTTTTATAGAGACAGTTTCAGCTAAACAAGGAGCTAAAGAAGTAAATTCTAAAGTTACTGCAGATATTTTTTATATGTTCCAGCAACATGAACACTAACAGGAGACCCTGCACGACAATGCACTCTGTTTAGTGTGTTATTTACGTTGTAGTTGGACTAAAACATTTCTCCATAGCATGTAAACGCTACAACATCGACCACTGACGACCCAGAGCGATGGTGATTCATGCAGTAACAGTCGCTACCGAGCCACTGAGGGTTTATTGTCCAGGGAGAAGTGGATGACTGAGCAAGAGAGTGGTTTTAGACACAGCCGGAGAGACGTGAGACGAGCTCACGCTGCAGACTCCTGCAGGAGTCAATCCTTGTGCCATCAATAAATATCTACGTATAAAAATAGAATCAAGTAAAAATAAATGCTCGCATCCACTCGTCAAACACATCATGAACTTCCACCCATACATTCTGAGGTAGATAATAGTGGATATGAGATAATCACACATTTGGGGAAGAACAAGTGTCGTTTAGTTTGTGCAGAAATTCATGTGCCCGACCGATGTCAAATATTAAAATGTTAATAACTTTGTTAAGCATTTTTTCTTCAAAAAAAAAAGTCGGTTTGGCCCATGTCCCATCAACTAACATGGAGGACCAAGAGTTTATGATCTATACTGCTACCAGCCACCAGGGGGCAATTGGCTTCACTCTTAGGGAGCTGTCATGTTGTCGATCTTTATTTTAAGTCTGTGATATGAACTCATTCTCTGTTGGTCTTGTTTCTTTACAATGAGGGACATAGAATAATTTCAACTGTTGTGTGCAGATTCATTCTAAAACTATTGACATCTTTCTTCCGACCACACAAGCAGAAATACTCTGGTGTGAACACTGTGGCTTTGACTGGGCACTGACTCATCCTGGGCAGACAGGTTTGGTAACCTCAGCCGGTCCTCTGGGTCCTCCGCGTCTTTCGACTCAGATGACTAAAGAGATCCTGACGTATGAGATGGCGATACCAAAATCCCAAACATAGACCCGGGGATGGATATTTAGCCTGGCTGACTGGGCACACACACACACACACACACACACACACACACACACACACATGCGCGCCTGTCCACATTCTCATGCAGCTATTCAGACATCAACACACGTACGCCGCTCCTGAAATAACAACTGAGGGTCTGAAACAGAAAAAGAAAACATTTCAGGTTTTATTGAAGCACAACGAGCAGTGAAAGATAACGTCGTGTCACTCAGCTCATACAAACCTTCTAGTTCTTTTTCTTTTACCAACAAATATGAATAATTTGGGATAAAAACATTAAAAATAGCAAAACATAAATAAAAAGAGAAGAACAAGAAGCTGAGGTGTAAACCTCCGGGGATTGAAAAGCTTAAACTCTACAGTTTGTTACATGTTGAAGCTGTGACAGTAAAGACAGTAATTACGTTTAGTGAATAAACAGATAAAAGACGGAGATAAACTTTATTTGGCCTGCGGGGCAAATTTCACTTAAACTGGGCGCTGCTGCTGCACAACACGGTCTGACAGGACCAGACGGATCAGCTACACTGCAGGAACACAGTCATCTGAGTCAACGTGCAAACACTCGGCATTTACAACTCTGATCCAAACCAAGACAAACAACAGAAAAGTGTTTTGTAAGAGTCAAATCTGTATTTTGGTGAACTTGAGGCCTGAGGGGTGATGCTGATGAGCGAGCGTGTTCGCCGACAGCAGCTGCTAAACCCGAAAAGAGGCGTGGAAACATTGTCCACAGCGGTTTTTTTCTTTCTACAAACAAAGCTGTGAAACCCACCGTGTCTAATTCTGTGTGTTTGCAGGAGGATTATAAATAAAGCAACACGTACTTGTTCCTAAAATCTCTGTCTACGTAAGACGCTCTATCTCTGCTGCAGAGCCTGGAGCGGAGGACACTCCAGCTCAGTGGGTTATCAGTGTGCACCCTTACAAACACACACACACACACACACACACACACACACACACACACACACACACACACACAGGAGAAGCTTCATTGTGAATGAATAATGTCGTCATTATTATCTCGAGCTCCGACTTCGCTGGAAGCAGGGTATTATTTTTCTGCTCCCGTGTGTGCGTGTAGGTGCAAGATGTTTCAAAAATGCATGGACTGATCTCGGTGGGGATATCAACTGGCAGATTAACTTTTGGAGCGGGTTGGTCAAAGGTCAAGCTCCGAAATCTACTTCCTATATTGATCAGAAATTCAATTCACAGAATCTCACAAATGGCGTCGCTATGTGTGACCATTCACAGCATCGCTTTGTGTTCGGACTTTGTTTTATGTATTTGGATTTGACTTTGTTTGCACTTTTATTTTGAAGCCACTGTCCTCTGACTTGGTTATTTCCTGCCTTTGCCTCGTTACAAGCAATAACATTAAGGATTTATGTTGATGTTATTATGAAATGGCATTTTATTATATACACTTAGCATATAAGTTAATATTGCTTGATTGGGGGAATATACAACATGTACACTGGTACTTGCAATACCATAAAAAGATTTGATGTATTTAGGTATCATCAACATGTCAACAAATAGAAGAAACAGATTTCTATCAACTCCAGCTTCTTCTCAGAATAATTCATCTTCCATGACCCTGAGAGCTGAAGGTCTAGAACCCGTCCACAACTTGTCTATACTTTGACATTTTGCTAACAGCCAAACTGAGGGTGAATTTAATTAAAGACAAACCAGGTGATACACGACTTTCATGAAAATGTCAAGTTAAATTCGGCAGAGGCGTTTCCGTCTCAATAACAACGGTGACAGCTGCAGCGGTGGTTGAATGACGAACGCTTGATTTGTTTCGACAGGTGAAAACACTGATGCTAACACATAGAAGAACAAAAAATAACTCCTGTGACACAGTCTGTTATTTAGAATATGACCCAAACTGAGTGATGCAAACAGCTCGGCTGATGGTTCTGATCGACTGACACTGGAGCGTGACGACCAGCGACGACTCGTACCTGGAACGTTAAAATGTATAACCATGATCTGAAATCTACAGCAGAGAGAATGAACTCGGGTGAGAAGCACAAAAACAGCCGCAAATGCCATCATCATCATCATCATCATCGTCATCACTGCCATGTGACATCAGTCATGTGTCCCAAAGAGATGCACTTCCCAGCAACTTTATCAAAATTGAAATTTCCCTTCTGCACATTTGTCCTAAAGGTTAAATATGTTGTCTCCCAAGTTATAAATGTCAATATATATGTTTTAGAATAGTTTCACAGCATTTCTTCCAGAAGATCAGAGGTCAGCCAAGTGTTTCAGACACAGGCTGAAAAGAGGAGCTGCAGCAGGTTTAAGGACAGTGACGTGTTTTCTGAACATTAGAGCATGAAAACCTTTCCAAGCAATAACACACATTTAAATGAAGAACATGAATATGAGCAGAATTTCTCCGTTAAGCATTGATGAAGCTATTAATCACTTAAAACTCTATAAAGTCAGAGTGGTGCTGACGCCTTTCTACTGCGCTTTGCCCCGAATATCCACATGTACCTGCACTGCGCCAATGAACTGGGTGTTTTGTTTTCATCTCAACGTGTCTTTTTCAATAACGTACCTCCTTATTTCTCTGTCCTCTCATGCATATGCTGTGGTTATTCCATGTCATGCCTCCACCAATAAATATGCACTGCTGCGTCCCACATACCAGTTAGTCAAGGTCTACAGCTATTCACACCACTAAGTGACGGCCATACATCACTCCTTTCTTGACACGACCTCCATTACTTTCTATTTTGTCTGCCTTCCCCCATCTCCTCCTCGGGCTAATGGCTTCCGCAGTACGCTCATAATGCATCGGCCAATCAGGCTGCCAGTGTGCGGCAACACACCACCTCCGGTCTTTATGGCTCCGGCTGATTGTTCATTTTGTTGCATTTTCTGACACAGACGCACTTTAGTATATTTCTATGGTGGTAAGAAAAGGTTATGGGTATTGTGCTTTTTTTGTTCAACGCAGGGAGGTTGGTTAGGTTTTGTTCCCCCGATGTCAGGGCAGACAAAAGACTAAGTTAGATTAGATTAATTCTTAGAAAGGGATAAGGAAAGATGTTTTCCACAGGGTCGGACGTCTTTGTCTTTGAAAAGATAAAAGAAACAGATTTGGAGTTTCTAAATCCCAGGTTCAGTTTTCAACCCCGGGGCGTTTTCGGGGCAACGAGCAGACCGACCCGGCTGAAATGAAACATTGCCTGAGAACTGAATAAGCACATGTCAGAAGGGATTCAAATATGAAAGAGATATATTAGAAAATCTCATTTCATAAATGCTTGAGTGTGAGCTCATTAAAAAGAGACGAGGTCACTTACTTGCAGAGGGTGTTTCGGCGTGGACGGGAGGCGTGGAGGGGATGAAGGAGGGGAAGAAGAAGGATCGCAGGGATCGCTCGGTGTGGAGCGGTGAGCGCTGCGTGGGCAGATTCTCACAGCTGCCCACGCTGCTGTGGATCTTAAGGTTCAAGGGCTTGGTCTTCTTCTTGGCTCTGAGGGAAACAAGACAAGGAAAATTAACAAACGACGGGCGTGAGCTCATCAGATTAGAGACGGAGGAACAAACGCTTTTTAAATTCTAATTCTAATGCTTTTGTTCTTACGTGTGAAAACACGAGTGTCACTTTGATGTGTTTGATTTTCAGACGTTTTTAAGCAAAGTTAAACTTCTGTTGAGCAGCTATTGACACATTCTGGGACAAACGCTGACAGATTACAGGAATGTGGCTCATTTCATTTCTGCGGCATCGACAAAAATGCCTCCTACTCCCTTGCTTTTTTTTTTAAAAGTATAAAATTACCCAAAACTCAAATGAAAATTCAACATTCACAACATCACCGTTAACCATTTGGCTTCAGTGATGAAGGTGCAGAGGCTTCAGACGCAATCACACAGCAGAGACACCAATTTCTCCACCCACAGTAATCCATACACATCGACCATACCGCCACAATACATGTTGCATTCTGAGTAAGTGATGTGACTCTTTTTTTGTAGAAAACCTTCTCTGCTCCACCATTAACTGTCATTATTATTATTCCCTCCACCCACACACACACTGGATCCCCCTCAGCTGAATGCAGTTAGTTCACGCGAGCTCTCGGAGGGGTATGAGAGTCACCCTGGGGGACAAAGAGGGGTGAGAGAGAGGTACTCAGAGAAAAAGTCTTCCACAGTATCGTCACTTTTAACATCTATTTTAACTCTTGATCTGTAACTGTATTAAAACTTAATAAGTCAATTCAATTTATTTGGTAGTATTTGTGTGTTTTTTCTTTTTTTAGACATTTATAATACATTTTCTGATTGAACTGTGAAATATTAAGCCTTAATTACTTTCTTTGTCATAAAATTTTAATTACAACACCAGAGGATAATCACGTTTTGGGGATTCCTGTGTAGATGATCACATGAAATGCAGATAGAGATGGTTCGTCTCTATTAACAGCTACGTTAACACAGATAAATTGAAAAGAAGATGTATTTCAGTCAACGCGTTCCTCCTCTCTTGCTCTCCACGAGGACTGTTTACCAAAGCCCGATAATTTGTGATCGGTCAAACTAGAAAATCTGTTAATTTTGAACATTTTAAAAAGATAAAATAGAAGAAAAACTATTTAAAAACTTGCAAAAACATTTAATGTCCCAACCGAAATGGTGTGAAAGTGGCAAAATGCAGCTCCCCCTAGTGTCCATCTGAACTTTGAATCGTACAACAAGAAAACCAGTAAACAAACAAAAATCAATACTCTGTGCCGCGGGTGACGAGTTACCGTGCACTCGAACAAACTCAAAACCTCAGAACTGCAACATTTTCTGCACAACCACAAACACACACTGCAGATATGACGGCACCCACATGAAACAGTGTGTACTGTCATAACATAGGAGCGGGAGTTCAGCGATAAGGATACAGCGCGAGGTTGAGTGTGACGTTCTTGAACCACTGCCAGGAAGAAGAAAGGAAAGCGCAGACGGGATGATGAAGGCAGACGCGATGGGGCGGACGGATCATCGCACGAGATAAAAACGAGTCATTTGATATTTAATGATGGATTTAATGTCTGTACTGTTTCATTGATGCTAATCTACAACATTACTGTCAGTTTTTTTTTTTTTTACAAATTGTTGGATATTATTCTCGCAAGCGTAAAGTGAACATCTTAAGAACACGTGTGTTGTACTGACAAGATACTGGCAGGATAATTCGCAGGAACTGATTCAACAGTGGTTAAGTAGTAATTTCTCATATTCATAAAAACCTGCAGCGTTAATCTGTATAATTGCACCAGTTAAAAAAATAAATAAATGAATAGAAAAACAAATATAAAGACACGTTATGTCACATTCCATTCATTTTATTTACTCCTGCCAGGATTTAATTGAAATTAAAAGGTTGTTTTTTAGACTTGTGTTATATATTAATTATGAATTTTACAAATGATATCTTTCATCAGAGGATTAAATCCCTCTCTAATCCTGCAGACTGGTCATTTAATGAATTTGGACAAAGCTGGGGGATTACAGTATAACACCCAACACCTGTGTCTGTTAAATCCCTGGTTTTTGGCAGGAGCTTGTGAATTACTTGAAAAACACGAGCTTTTTTTTTCTCATGTCAGATCTCAAGTCACCTGTAATTTCCCTTAATCACCGGCTTCTGTTTTCTGCTTCCTTTAGGGGGGACCTGTCATTTCTGATCGCAGGTTTGGATAATTAAGCCCGAAAGCACAATTTGTCTTTGTCAGCTCGTCATGCAACTTGTTGAAGTAAAACTTTTGTGTATTATCACCTGTAAGTACGCGGAGGAAACTATGAACCAAGAGAACTGAAAGGGGCAAACCTGTTCGTAACAGTGTGTCATTTGATTGTAAATATTCGAGTTGTATCTTAAAGAACATTTTAGATTATTTTCTTTATACTTGGTTCACTTCCTGGTCGGAGTTTGGATTGTGTCCCCAAAATCAGAGGCTTCGTTCAAAGACCGATTGCATCACAGCGGTGCGACTAGGCTGTCGCATTTCGAAAGCTCCGACAAATTCCCCCAAACAATTGCATCCTTTCATCCCCGAGCTATGAAAGCTCCAACTGGTGGATCCTTCTCGGGCCAACCTATCCCAGGATTCATTGCTCTCCAGAGATAAACAGTTTTTCGGCGAAACGTCGGATGCTCACACTTTTTAAACGTACTTATCGAGCTTCAACTCAACAGCTAACGCCACATGTTGAAAAACTACAGGGCAATAAAACGTTCTCGTCATGACCAACTGCAGCTCTGTTGCTATGCAGCAGAAGAAAACGATGCAGATGTTTGCTTCAGCCCTCACAGTCTACGCAGCCCACAATGGATTCACCTATGTGGGACCTGGGGTTAGAAGTTTGGACTGTGTTTGGTCGGTCACCCACATTGAGTCTCTCTGCAGGAGCAGATCATTCTGACAGTCAGAGGCTCTGAGTTCGACAGGACCTGGAACAAACTGAGGACGACACATGAAATACAGAAGGAATGACGTCTGAAGCTGTACATTTTTTAATTCCCCGCAGGTCGATGCTTTTTTTTTTTTTTACGCTCGCTGCAACTCCAGGAGAACATGAGGTGACTTTGTGATGATCGCTGGAAATAAACAACCTCCGTTGTCTCATGTTAGAGAAATAATCCACTCACTGTTAATTAACTCCCAGAAAATGATTTATGCAAAAGTGAGATTCAGTCAGACGGATCTGATCAGACTCTAACTTGTTTCTTTTCTCCTCCTCTCAATCTTAATTTGGTCAACCTCAAACTTTTTAAGTGAATCACACATTGACTGAAGTTCAACTCACACTCAGGGCCCCCCCCCCCCACCCTCCCAGGGCCTCACATTCACACCTCGGCCCCCACTGTGAATTTGATGTGTGTGAACGTGAAGCGGCCCGAATCAGGTTCACACGTCACACCAAGTTCAAAGGGGGGGAAAGGGACGCTCGATAATTGCCTATCAACATCTGACCAGTGACCGACGCCAGCATGAGTTTGGTTTCTACCGGTGAAGAAATGGCGGCCAAAAGAAAAAAAATGAAGTAAAAGACGACAGAGGGTAGAGAAAGTAAAGATTCAACTATCTCCCAGCACAGTCGTTAACGTCATGTTAATGTTTTCATCCTTGTTTTCGACTCGAGGTGAAACATAATGGTCTGACTCCTACTTTTATATAAACTGAAATTACTTTTGTCGATATTTTGCAAATGATTGTTTTTGTTATTTGATTGATCGATCACATGTTTATGACGCAACTCAGTTCATTTCAGATTTGCTTATTTATTTCACGCTGAAGTTACTTTTGTGTAGAGACACAATGTTTTCAGACTTATTTCGGGGGTTGGTATCGATGAGTCAATTTCATGTGGATGTAAATTGTGGCTTTATTCAGCTGCTGTACAGTAACAGATATACAGAGAGAGAAACCCGTAACTCCCACTGATGTGTAACTGAGAAACGTTAATGTGACTTTAGCTTTATAGGCTGGTTTTAATTTAAGGGGATTGTTAAGTCTTGGTGGAGGTTTGCGCTCCTTTAAGTGCTGTTCTAGATAGTTTCTTTTTTATTTCTTCTACCGAGGAAGTTAGTGTTTGATTGCTGTTCGTCTGCAGAACATACGCAGAAACTTTTACTTAAGCTTGGTGGAAGGGTGCTTTATGGGCCGGGGGAGAACCCATTACATTTTGGAGTGGATTCAATTAAAAAGGACAGATCCAGGATTCTTTGGGAAACTTTCTTTTACATTGTGAGAGAGAGTGAAAGCCTTGGAGGACGTATGGGAGCCTCCTAGTTTCAAACATAGTTTGTGTTGTTGTTGTTGGGTGACAAACACAAACCAAACAGATAGAGACAAACAAAGCAAAGGAGGAAATGCCACGTTTACGCTTTAAAAACTGAAATTTTGAGTCAAATCTCAAGACGTGTCTTGCAAAGTGATGCTCATTAACTGTTAAATCCCACAGGATTTGATCTTCATGTCAGTGTCTCTCACTCCCGACACTGACTCATGCAATCAGACCTGCAGCCCCGCACTCCTCTCCCATCTCCTGCAATAAGGAAGCAGGCTGCAGGTTATCACTTCTCCGACACAGAGCCTTTGTCAGCTATTCCGATTAGCCCACTTTATGCCATTTGAATCCAAATGAAACCATTCATCTCCCTGCATGCGCCTTCATCCTCTCCTCTAATGACTTGTTAGATGTTTGGGGAGGGAGAAGTGAAAATGGATGTGAAGAGAAAGGCAGAGGATTCCCAGATTTTTGGTTTTGAAAATGCGCGTCGGTGACTCCGCAGTTTGTTAAAGCGCCTCCATTCAGATGTCTCTACTCATCATATGAAAAGTTCAAGGAAGAAGAAAGTTGAAAAGAAAAGAGAGAGAGGGAGAAGAAGGGAAGAGGTGGGTGACTTGTCAAGAGAAATCAGCGAAGGTGTGAATAGTTAAGTTGCCCTTTGATGGAGTGAAGAACTGCACA